CTGTGTTTTGTATGGTAAATAGGGAACTGGATTCCATTTTATTGGTAAAGAGGCATTCTACCTTAGTTCTAACTGACAACTGTCGAAGCGTCTGATTTTAGTGGATAATATATTATGTAAGTGTCACTTTTATTGCTATAAAAAATCTTCAGCTGAATTCTAACAAAAGGGCCACGGATGCTTGCCCATCACTGGCAACACACACTGCTTGTACAGTCTCGTTTTCAAGTTTTAATCTCCCGAACGCTGCCCAGCCGAGTTGAATCCGTGGATTGACCTCTCGGTCGAAGTTGGACTTATTGACTATTTGTCCCAGGTAAACATACTAGTCAACAACTTCGAACTAAACGCTCCCAACAACTACCGGCATAGGTGTGACGTGGACGCTATATATGATCTTTGTTTTCTCCATGTTCATCTTAAGACCTATCCTCGACTATTTGTCCTCCAGCGATTCTGCCATAAGGACTATATCATCGGCAAATCGAAGGTGAGTGATGTAGTAGCATATTATTACATTATTATTATATTATCAATATTGCTGTGTTTTGTATGGTAAGTAGAGAACTGGATCCCATTTCATTATTAAATAGGTTTTTTTCATGGTAGGGCCATGCTGCAGCTATATTATGGTTGTAGCATGAATGGATCGGCTCGACCGGGGTGGGAACACGCTCTCACAGAGTATCAGCGTAAAATAGCAGCTTAATTCTGCTGTGTTTCTTATTGTAAGTATAGAGAACCGGAGGCCCTTTTTACTGGAAACGAGGCACTCCATCTTTGTCCTCAGTGGTGACAACGCATCTGCATTTTGATTCTTAAGAAAGGATAAATATAGATGTCTATAGGCCACAGCATCCACTTACCGTCAGGTGGACTGTGTGCTAGTTTGTCACCCTTATTTTATAAAAAAAGTCCTAAAGGGAGTGGTGGTTAACACGTCTGCATTTTGATATTTAATCGTAGATAGATGTAGGTCTCTATAGGCCACATCATCCAAACATCTCTGGCTCCACCGCCAACTAACCTTCGGCCGCGGAGGGTGAGGAGAACGGCGTCTCACACACCGCTCCCCCCGCGCCCCGTTTGGCCAGTTTTAACGGCTCCGTGGCGCAGTGGCTTAGCAATGAGTTGTTGCGCTGGGTGCCGCGGGTTCGTATCCCGCACGGAACAAGTATTTGTATAGCTTAAAAATAATTATTCCGGGTCTGGATGTTTGTCCTCGTGTAAGTTATGTTTGTAAACCGCCTCCATGATACAGGAAAAAACGCTAGTGTTGGGGTAACATTTAAAAAAAGAACATCATCAGGGGATTTATTTATTTAAAAAGTCTTTAGCCGAATTGGAAATAAGTCTGCCAACAAAAAAGGCTACATCCTCGAACTTTTACTGTATTCTACGTATAAGGCTATATTATCTCACTCAAAGCTATATTTCTTATATGTTTGTTTATATAATTTATGTTTTCTGACCAAAACAAAGCATTTTTTTAGTTTTCAACTCTTTTCCGTGGACTTAAAGACTTAATGTTTTTGGAGTATTTTCCTACCACTTAACATATGGATGCGCAGAAAGTATTGGAAGCAATGATTTATTATAAGAGATTAAAGGAACTTACCAAGTGAAGTTCAATCCTTATTATATGATGTGTTTTGTTCGAAGATATATATTTTACCATGTAGTTTCCTTTATTTTACGGCTAGTTAACACGCGTTTGTTCAGAGCTTTTTTTTTTGATGTTCACACTCTGAACCTGGTAACCCTGTAACTTATCTAGCAAGGTCATTAGTTTTAGAGATATATTTTCATAACTCTACATGTGTGGGATACATAGAATAGGGTAGGGTGGGTGTATATATCTTCGAACAAAACACATCATATAACAAGGATTGAACTTCACTTGGTAAGTTCCTTTAATCTCTTATTATATTTCTGTGTTTTGTTCTCGATATATATTTTACCATGTAGATATTCAGAGACCAGTAGAGTTATTAAGACTATTTATTATTCATTATTATGTATCTATTACAAAGTAATATAATAATTAAATGAAATTATCACATAGTAATAGCATAATCATTTTTTGAGATTAATTAGACTGTGTTACCTTAATTAATTTTATTAAAGTAAGTGTTTGTGTCTATTTGTTTACAGACTTATATTAATGTACTAAGTGTGCATTAGCTTTACTTAGCTGAAAGAATGTAAAAAGTTATTATCCTCTTGAATTGGCCTGTTGTAGAATTTTGCAAAATTATCAGTAGACTTGGACCACCCAGCAGTTTTTCTAATGATATCTAATGATACGCCTAAATTTTTTGCATTAGATGTAGAGGCGTGTCTCGTGCTGTGAGCCTTAAATTCTTTTGTATCTATACCACTCTCACACAATACGCTTTTAATTCATCGACTGATGGTTTGAGCAGTAGCCTGTTTATAAGGCTTTTTAAATGTTATCAACAAGTAGTCTATGTCACCTCTGATCTCATGTGTAATTTTTATATATTCTTCCAGTGCTTTAGCTAGGCAGATGGATTGGTCCTCATCAAAGTATGGGAGAAACATTCTAGGTTGTTGCGTTCTCAAACTGGAAGTTTTTATGATGTCTGTTATATTTACATAAATCCCTTCGCTTGAGTGAACTATATTAGATAATTTAATGAATGAGATGGTTTGAGCTCTATGTGCTGTACAGATGGCCAGAAGAGTGGTCACTTTTTTCACAATTTTTTCTAATGTTAGTAAGTTGTTTGCATACCATTTACTTATGTAGTTTAAAACTTTGGATGGGTTCCATGTTGATGTATATTTGGGTAGTGGAGGTCTTTCTCGATAGAAACCTTTAAATAGTCTTTTTATTCTGTCATCATTATTATTTTTTTAATTCAATATTAAGGACAATGCCGACATGTGTGCATTAAGTGTACCATATGATGATCCGCTTAGGAAACAATTTGTTAAGAAAGACATTACCATGGGTACAGATGCCTCATATGGTGATATTCTATTTTCTATACAGAATGGCCACCATACTTTGTATGTAACGCTGTACTGATCGAGAGTATTCTTAGATAATGAGTTAATCATAATGTCAAGTGCAGCCTTAGGCACAGATTTATTAGTTAGTGCTTGCCGGAGAGTTTCCCTGCAACCAATGTAAGTTGTTGATACAGTGGGTGAGTAATCCTGAAAGGAGAAAGTAATAACTTTTTGTGTGGTTTGAATATTATCCAGTCAGATATTAGTAGACTTTGGGCGAGTGGGAACCAGGGTTGTGAAGGCCACCAGGGGATAACAACTATTCCTATGGCCTTATCATTCTTTATTTTTTGTAAGCATTTCAATATAAGGCTAAAGGGTGGGAATGCGTAAAAGTACAGGTTTCCCCAGTTGATGGTAAAGGCATCTATATTTAATGCCTCTGGGTCTTGTTTCCATGATATATATTTACTGCACTTAGCGTTTTGTCTAGATGCAAATAAATCTATTTCTGGCATTCCTAGCTCCTTAGTTATTATATTGTATGCTTTTTCACATAATTCCCATTCGGTATCAATATTGGTCTTTCTTGATTCAAAATCTGCTTCTGTATTTTCTTTAGAACCTATGTATGATGCTGTAAGTTTTATATGCCGTTCTTCACACCATTGCCAAATATTTCTGGCTAGTTGGTTAAGGTGTGGGAATTGTATGCCTCCCATCCTATTGACATAAGATATTGCAGTTGTATTATCTACTCTTAATAAAATCTCACAATTTTTCTCGTATTTTGCAAATAATTTTAAACCAAGAAAGACTGCTTTTAATTCTAAGTAATTAATATGATACTCTTGTTCACTTATTTTTCCATAGTCCATTGACTTTTTCTTTGCCACATACACAGCCCCAGCCTGTTCTACTTGCATCTGTATAGATTTCTTTTGTGTACTGATTTTTCCTAATATGTTTACATGTATTACTTATTTTTAATGACCACCAGCTAAGGTTTTCTTTAATTATGAATGGGAGAGTTATTGTAGCATCATAATTACTATTGTTTTGTATTAAGGTTAGATATTTTTGGCGTTCCAGAATTTTTGTATATAACCATCCATATTCTATTGCTGGGCAGACTGTTGTTAAAGTTCCTATCAATTTTGATAGCTCTCTAATAGTACAGTGTTTAATTTTTATAAATTTACTAACAAGTGATGATACAATAACCCTTTTATCGTTTGGTATAGAGATGGTCATGTTAGTGGAATTAAATTGGAATCCAAGATATTTGAATTTTTGTTTGGGCTCTAAGGCACTTTTTTCTTTATTAATAATAAGTCCTAGACATTCCAAGAGTTTTGTTGTTTCTTGGACATTTTTGAGGCAGCTAATATAATTTGACCCAATACAAAGTATATCGTCCAAATATATTACGGAATTAAGCCCCCTTGAGCGCAGATGTGTGACCACCACTTTCATTATTTTTGTAAAGACACATGGTGCTGAGCATAGGCCATAGGGTAGTGCATTAAATTCATAATACTTATTATTATAAATAAATCTTAAAAACTGTCTTTGACTGTTGTCAATTGGTACTAAAAGATAAGCCTCTTTTAAGTCTATTGTTGCACAGAATGCACCTTTTGTCAGCAATCCAATTACCGTTCTGTAGTCTTCCATTTTAAAGTGAGGTACAGAGATAAATTTATTTAATTGTTTTAAGTTGAGGATAAATCTCATTTCACCGCTGGGTTTCTTTCTTAAAAAGATATTAGATAAGAACTGGTGCTTAGATGGCTGCCATAAGGATATTGCTCCTATTTTAATAAGTCTTTCCACTTCATTGCTCATTTGCTGTTGTTCCGCATCACTTGTTGGTTTAAACTGAGATGGTATTGTTTTTTGTATAACTTGTGTATAGAAAGGGATTTTGTAACCCCTCACCCAATTAAGAATCTGCTGGTTGTCAGTGATGTTTTCCCAACAAGAGACAAAGTGTTTTAGTCTACCTGCATGACATACCTTTATTTCTGCACACGGGATTTGACGTCCTTTGACTGAAGAGGCAAAGCAGTTGCCCCTGTCCGGCGGATTGGCAGCATTGGCTTCTTGTACCTACCCCGTGCTGTGCTCCGTGTTGCTGGAGCAAACCGTTGTTGAGTTCGAGGTGGGCCACTGAAGTTTCCCTGTTTGTTACTTTTATGCTGAGAGGTTTGTGAGTACACATTTTTGTTCATATTATAGTCAGCCTTTTTTATAGATTGACTAGATTTTTCTATAATTTTTACAGCTTTAATTTTTTCGGATAGGTTTCTACCATACAGGAATTCATCATGGTCAACATCCTTAATTACATTTAGAAAGCTTTTATCTAATGTAGGTGTTATTAACTTCTTTCTAGTTTGAGTCTCGTTAAAGTGAAGATCTGTAAGTATCCTCGCTGCGTCATTTAAGTTTTTTATTATTTGCATTTTTTCTCCTTTATCTTTCAGCACGAGTGACATGGCCCTACCAAGGGCTGTCAGGCCTATACCTAGTTGCTGCTGAAAAAACTCGATCTTTTTATCGCGATTTTTCGCCATTTCTGTAATGGCTGTGCCAATTTCTGGGTTTAATGTGGGGGCTAGGAGCAGGTCACAGTTTGCTGGAATTTGGTACAGCTTTGTTATACTTTCTTTATCCTCTTTGTTGAGGCCTTTCCTAAGAATAGGTGTCCAGCGTGATGCCAAGTTGTCACTTATATCTGGGCCAAATGTTTGCTTTTTCACAACTGGGTCGACCAAAATGAGGAGCACCTCAGGATCTAATACCTCTGCCTCCTTATCCACATTGCAAGGCATGTGCTGCTCTTTCGTTTCGGCAACCTCAGTAGTGTTGGGTCCTACCTCATTACAAGTTACAGTATCACTATGATGGTGAGGTAATTCGACAGTATTCGATTCTGCGGCTACTTCTGGAGACTGTGGTGTCCCCCCCCCTCACTTCTATTATTTCGTCATCTGTAAAGATGTGAATTACATGTAAATAGGAGCATAACGCGTACGATATCGCGTACAGTATGCGCTTGCACAATGCCTTCGTAATGTCTCGAGGACATTCCCCGGGCCTAATAATGCTCGTGTGTGCATCTCGTACACACCCCGAGTAGAAATTTTGCTTAATTTATTGCTTACCTTGAGTTTCGACAAAATTGTCGTATTCCGATGGGGTTGTCGGACAGCGGCTACGTTGTTTTTCTTCTAGTTTCCTGATTTTTCTATAATATCTTTGTAAATCACGTTCTATATCCTCTTTTCGCCTTTTCGGCATTATTCTTTTGAAACTGATCGCTATTTTCCCCAATGTAATTTAATTGCGTGTTAATCTTAGCGCGCGAAGAAAAGGAATGGCATTGCTAGATAAGTTACAGGGTTACCAGGTTCAAAGTGTGGACATCACAAAAAAAAACTCTGAACAAACGCGTGTTAACTAGCAGTAAAATAAAAGAAACTACATGGTAAAATATATATCGAGAACAAAACACAGAAATATACTTTATTATATTATGTCTAAAATTCAATTAAATAATAATATTTAATTGAATTTTAGACATATAATAAAGTAAATTTTATGGATTTTATTGCGATTAATTTTTCTACTTCAGTTATTAATTATCCTATTTTACTTATTTTTAATCATTGCGGGTGCTTTACCGGGGCGCATAGTTACGGAGGGGACTGAAATGTTTGACGTCCCGATGTCAAAGTTAGCCCCGTGGACCTTCAGCTTTTGAATATTAATTTATTCAAAATATTGAATAATAAATTTTATTCTAGTTATGTAAATATTGAATAGTAATTTTTATTCTAGTTATGTAAATATTAAATATTAATTTATTCAGGCGTCTCGCTCCGGCTTCGCCTGGGTAGGATCTATTAATGTGGTGTATATTTTATAAATTTTTCGTTTTGTCAAAAGATAGAATGAATGAAATATAGCCGAGAATTGCCTGGAATTGCTCTCTATTTGTTCGTAAAGTTTGATCATTATTGGTTCAGCCATTCTGATGATGAGCCCGGACAAACAGACAGAAAGACAAATGTTTTAGAAATGGTTATTTATGTCTTAATTGCATGCAAATAACCGTTTGAGTTTAATTGGAACCAGTTATTTTAATAATATAGACAGACACTTCACTTTAATTTTATGCATATGTATATAGATTGAACACACTATCACAAGGAGGAACTTATCTTCCATTTTTTTATAGAATAAGGGTGACAACGAGCACACTCCACCTGATGGTAAGTGAATTCTGTGGCTGTGGTGTGAATAAATATTTATATATATATATATATATATATATATATATATATATATATATATATATATATATATATATATATTTATTTATTTATCCTCAATTAAAAATCAAAATGCACCCTGATTTTACCCCTGAGGACTGAGATGGAATGCCAGTTCTCTACACTCACCATACGAAACAGAGCAGCATTAAGCTGCTATTTTGCTTAACTTTTATGTACTAAGTCTAGTCCTAAATTGCTACACACTCGGTCATTCACACAACAACCTGATCCTCAAACACCAGTTTGTGTTTACAGCATTACAATCTATTACCTGTGGCATTTTGAGCAACGCAATAAACTCAATAATGAAAATCAATTTCAAACTCAAATATTTTGTATTAACAACCTGTTGCAACTTTTATCCAGCTCATACAAAAGTCAAAATGTAAATACAAGGGTTCGCTGTCAAAAAATCTTTTCAGGGAAGAATTGATAAGAAACTGGGATGTTTTAGTCGTTACAAAGGAGGAGTTATTAACTCAGATGTATTTTCTGTGTTAGGAATATTACGCAATGTCTTCGCCAGTTGTGAACCGATTTTAATAATTACTTTTTTGCGAATAGCCTTCTAACTTTTTCAAAGACTTCAAAGGTGGTCGTATTTAAATTTGAATAAGAAATACCACCCCTAATGATAAAAAATATAGAATGAATTTTTTTGGGAAGACGTTCCCAATTTGTCTGTATATTCTTTTATTTTTAAACGAATCTGTAACAAATTAGTAAGCTGAAGTGACAATGGGCCGGCCATATAGCTCGAAGAACCGACAAGAAACCGTTGGGAAAGAAAGGTTCACGAGTGGCAGCCTCGTATCGGTAGATGAAGTGTAGGATGGCGGCCCACTAGACGGAGTGACGATCTGGTAAGACATGCAGGAAGTCGATGGATGCAGGTGACCTCAAGACCATGCTTTGTAGCATTTCTTGGAGGAGGCCTATGTTCAGAAGTGGACTTGTGACGGGCTGTAATAATGATAATGATGATACGAGATATCTTACCAATTTTTAATCGATTTTAATTATATAATTAAATAGGTTTTATATAAGTGATGGTCCCAAAGGAATTAGTAGAAAATTCCATCCCTAAGTATTTTCCATACCTAAGGATGGAATTTCTACAATGATGTGAAGATGTAAACGTCCTTATTTAAGCAATGTTTTAGCTGTTAACTTGAAGTTGTGTGTTCCTTAGACGATATTGAGCTTCTAATATTGCTTAATCCACACAAAAGCGTCGATGAATTAAACTTTAAATAAAGTTTAAAACCGATTTACAAAAAATGAAAAGTCTTAAATATTGCCACATAATTTAAAAACTTCTAAAGTGCTAGGAAAAAGTGCCTCGAAGATTTAAAAACCATGAAATAAAGAAAATAAATGGATGTGGTGGATTTTTTTCTAGAACACGAGTGACACGAGCACACAGTCCATCTGATGATAGGCGTATGCAGACATTAGACATCTACATTTATCCTCAATTACGAATGAAAATGCAGATTCGTTGTCAGCCCGAGGGCTAAGATGATCCCTCGTTTCCTTTAAAAAAGGTCTCCGTTTCTCTACACTCACCATACGAAAAGCAACGGTATTAAGCTGTTATTCTGTGAGAGTATGGTCCTTTCCTAGTTGAGCCGACCAAAACCAGCTACAAGCATAACATAGCTGCAGTATGGTTCCAAGTAAACCAAGTAATAAAGTCAATTTTTAGTTTTTTTTCAAAGTTTAATTATTTACACGCCACGCTACAATGTAATTTACAACTTATATTGAAATCAATATAATGTCGAAGATTAAATAACATTTTATGTTATAGATCGTTAAACAGTATTGCCTCTGGTATTGCTTTTATTTCGTTCGTGATACATATTTATTATGTGAAATAAAGTTTACGTTTGATATGTCTACAGATATGTCACGCGAGAAATGGTAAATACATTTTATAATATAGATACCATACTATTCATTTATTTCTGGGCAATATTTGCTATAGTTACCACGCAATATTTGCCACGCTTGCCAGGCGGGTTGGAAATCGTAGATTTTTAAATTGTTTTAGTTGTAATAAGAAGGCTGAGATGCTAAGGGCTGGACAGGGTAAAGTGGCTAGTCAGCTGTACCGCCTTTTCAAATTGTGCTAGCAAAATGGGCAAGTACCAGGAGACTGGTGCAAAGCCGTAATCGTGCCTTTGTATAAGGGAAAAGGGTCACGGCAGGACTGCATAAATTACCGCGGTATATGCCTTCTTAGCGTCGTCGGTAAATTGTATGCGAAAGTGTTGATTGAAAGGGTTGTGAATGAAACAGACGAAAAAGTATGGGATGCACAAGCGGGATTTAGAAAAAGAACGGGATGTACGGATCAGGTCTTTTCCTTGCGGTGCATAGCCGAAAAGTGTTTGGCTAAAAACAAGAAGGTTTATTGCGCGTTAGTGGACCTAGAAAAGGCCTATGATAGAGTGGTGAGAAATGAATTGTAGTCAGCACTGTCCATGAACGGTGTGAGCAGTATCCTCGTACCAGCATTGCAATCACTTTATAGGGATTCTAGTGCTTGTGTAAGGGACTCTACTAGGCGGACATTTCAAGACCAAATAAGGGACGTCTTGAAAAAAGGCCGGGATAAGAGCACCCTAAACCGTAGAGCATTTATGAAGAGAATAATGAAAGTGGACGAAGCGAAACAAGTATGTAAGGATCGTAGCAAGTGGAAAGAAGTGGTCTCTGCCCACCCCTATGGCAAAGAGGCGTGATTATATGTATGTATGTATGTGTTATAAGAAGACGTCACTGCCTATTTCCTGGTTGGTTTCCCTCTGTCGCCTCTTACGACACCCACGAGACGATACGGGATAGTGGAGGTTTTTATATTTCCACTATACGGTTTCATATAGACGTTTACTTTTATTGTTTTCTTCTAGTTCTTTCAATCTTATTTTAAACTTTAATACATCAATTGCATATGAACAAATATCCAGACCCAGAACAATATTAATGTTTCATCATCATTACAGCCTGTCATAACTCCTCTGCTGAACATAGGCCTCCCCCAAGGAATGCCACAAAGCATGGTCCTGAGCCACCTGCATCCATCGACTTCCTGCATGTCTTACCAGGTCGTCACTCCATCTCGTGGGGGATCGTCCTACACTTCACCTACAAGTACGAGGCTGCCACTCAAGAACCTTTCTTCCCATATTAATGTTTAGACCATACCAATAGTCGTTCCATGCGGGTTTCAAACCCATAAGCCCGGGATGCCGCAATTAAAGGTTTAACCACTATACTTACTAGACGTCAAACTAAAAACTATGGCGGTATGAGAAAATTTATAAAACAACATTTTATTTCGCTTACTTACCTGGCCTCCGTGGCAAAGGTCAACCATTTATTACCGTTCAATATTCTATGACCTGGGTGATACGTAATATGCACGGAAGCAATAAAACTGTGGCAACATGTTATTTTAAATTTTACCTGTAACAATAACAGTAAAACTTTTACCATAGATAGAGGTAAGGCTGCATATTCCTCTCTCTCTATTGTCTTCTTTGTATTCCGCGTTAAAATAAAATAATATTATTGTTGTCGTCAAACCACACACGTTTCTTTTGTTTTTCTTATAATCCTATTCTATATATTTCTATCTAAAGGTTGTTGGGAAGAAATCGCTTTTAGTGATAAAATTGCCCATTGTACTTTGGCCGTCTACCGCTAACCAAGGTGTTCTGCCCGGCGAGGGCCAACGCTCCGTGTGTTATTTCGGAGCTGTTCTATATATAGCGCGTTAAGTTCAGAACTTTGATATCGTGATTCAGGCTTTGGTGCGTTTCTTACGGTGCGACGACAGCGCCATCACATCTGCTCAATGTGGTGGTCGATAGTGCAGTCTAGATGTCGACTAATGCGCAAGTGTCTGCGGTGCAAGCCTTGTAGTCTGCGGTGAGTCAAGAAGAAGGCAAGTAA